GCGTCTGTCTTATTCGTAATTATGCTTCAAGCACTACGTGAATAACACAGCCGAAGGTAGGAGAGATGTGTTTGGGTCTTTTTTTTAACTTTTCTCCCGAATCTGAGCGAGACCTCATTGGCAGCATATAGCAGATCATCGAGAGCTCACGCTTCCCGTCATTGCGCCTTCAATTTTTCAGATGCAGCTCGGACGTTTATCAAGTACGAATAGTTGTATCTCTGCGCCGTCGTTGACGCGCATCCTTTCCCTCGCTTTATTTCCATATTGTGTTTGTGTGCGTTTGTCTTATTTGCAATGTTGCTTCAAACTAGAGCAGAGCAGTGCGAGTTCACGACTCACGGCATCGTGTCTTACATTTTTCATATGCAATGTGGGAATCCATCTTGCGCGAATAGTTGTATCGCGTTTACATTTTAGATGTCTTTTATTTTTGAATTTCGAGATAAATTAAGGTTAAGTTTGCCCGAGCTATGCTATGGTATGTCCAAATCAATAGTCATTTGAAAAGGAGGAAATATGTTTAAAGGTCTCTCATGAGGTCTATAAAGGATGGGTATGTCTAAAATTCGAACCGACCATCGTTTCTAAGGGAGTTACACATAGCGAATGAATGAGGGGGATGATAAAGTGCCTGTATGTCAACAAAAAGGTGACAATTTCACAGAAAATTGTTTACGCCTCAGAAAGTAGTTCTTGGACCTCTGTTCACCACTATCATGCGTTACAGCACCTTTCTTACCCCTAACTCTCTCTTCTTAAGTTCATTTATGAAGTTTTTCTCACATATTCTCGGTCGTAATTTTTTCTTCTTCTTATTTTGCTATCCGTAAGAGGGGCGCGTTTTCGGCGCGCCGAGGGGGCGTATCTGAAAATGGCAGATTGGCCTCATGGCCAGTCCGAGCCTGCACATAAGTGCTTTTACAGAAGAGTCAGAAATCGTAGTTCGGGGAATATAGGAACTACAATTTCTGACTCAGTTTAGAAACACGTACTATTAGTTTTCCTATGCACATAAGCGCTTTTGAAATTATAGTTCGAATGACAAAATCAAGTCCAATTTATTCACCGGCTATCCTTGCCCTTGCGTCAACAATTCAAGGCCGAGCGAGAGAGCCCTGATCGAAGGAAACTCGTCATTGTTTATAACGAACGCCCACTTTCCCGCGAGAGCGGAAAATGAGGGTGGGATCGAGGGAAACGTCCCGCTGGAAGGACACAGGGGCGCGAGGGGATTTGACCTATATCGAGGTTCCGTTCAACGAAGGTCAGGTCAGGGAAAGAGTCCTGGTAGACGAAGATGGGGCAGAAAACTGAATGAAGGTGGTGGTGAGTGAAATCATTCACTCGACTCGCGACGCGCGGGCCGCACGCCGCACGCACCACGTCACAACGTCACAACAACGGCGGGGAACGCAGGGTTACGCACGTCGCACACTGGAACACGTTTATAGAAAAGGTCGGACATGAAACTCTTGGCTAAAATTTCAAAATTTGATGTTCGTTTCATCACAAATTCTATGTAACAATGTGTTTTTGAGAGGAAATTTTACGAAAAATCAATGGAACCACTCTCAAACATTTTCGTCTCATATTTTTTGGAAATATAAGCTTTCAAAGTTTCCATATTTTGTCTGACATCTCCTATTGGCTCGGTCCAGTGTGCGTCGCACAACACGCCGTGTCATATGAAAAAAACACGCATTTTGATTTGCGACGTTGCAAATTACTAATCATAATATAATTTCTACTCTAGGGAAATGAGCATTGTTTCATGACATTTTGAATGATATATCTTCGTGCTACTCACTAAACGCGGGCACCAGGTACCTTCATGCACGCTGGGCTTGTCGATTTCCTTTGACATTTTTGCAGTGGTGAATGCAAAGCTGAAGTGCGCTCCAGCTAGAATTGTATATAGAAAATGGGTAATTTTTATAGGAGGATTATACATAAACAAGTGGTTACAAATGAAAACAAAATACTATGAACTATGCAAAACGATTATTCAGATATCGGAACTTGGCTGATTTGAAAACGCCTTCAAATGCGGCGTGATACCTCACACTTTCCGGAGAGTTCAAATAGTTGTATCATTGCGCCTTAGAAATGCGACGGAAGATTACAATTGAAATAGCCTTCATGCACGCTGGCCTTTTCGATTTCCGTTAACATTTTTGTAGTCATGAATGTGCTTAAGTGCGCTTCAGCTAGAATTGTAATTACAAATGGGTGGTTTGTCTACGAGGATTAAAAATAATCGAGTAGCACGGAATATAAAAAAAGAATATGAACTATGCAAAACGATAATCGGGGTATCGGAACTTGGCTGTTTTGGAAACACCTTCAAATGCGGCGTGAAACCTCACGCGTTCCAAAGAGTTTAAATAGTTGTATCATTGCGCCGTTAGAATGTGACGGAAGATTTAAATGGAAATAGCCTTCATGTACCTATAGCTAACATCACACGATCACACCGTGCTATCAATATATGTAGGTATGGACGTATTCATTGTAAAAGGAACTATGTTACACGCAAACCCAATACACATATAGTTGTATGTGCAAAAGCAAAAAAGGCAACTCAATTTTATAGAAGCCTACTAGTTAATGTTAATGGCCCTTCCTATCTCAAAAGACTACTTATTATTCATGCAATCATGTCAATTATCTTTTACGGTGTAACAATCTGGGCACATGCTATTAAGTTAAAATACAACCAAGACAGAATTAGGAAAACACTTAGACCTTTAAAAATATCATTATGCTGTGCTTATCGTACTGTATCCGACTTTGCATTAGATACATTGTCTAGAATAGAACCTCCACATTTACTCGTAAAAAAGAAAAGACTTATAATGATTCACAAAGACCGTAGGGAAGAAATTGAGGAAGAGATCATGAATGAATGGAAGAGTGAATGGAATAAAAACACTAAAAATAAATGGATTAAGACTTTAATTCATGATTTTGATGCATGGATGAATAGAACGCATGGTTATACAAATTATTATCTTACACAATTTTTTACTGGGCATGGTGACTTTAATTATTATTTACATAGGTTTAAAATAAAGACATCCCCTTTCTGCACAATATGTAATGAAGACATTAACGACACAGCTTATCACACATTTTTTGACTGTTCTGCCTCTGTACATCTTAGATATAATTTAGAAACCAAGACATCCTATAGGTTAGAACCCTCCACTGTCGTTAACTTTATGCTCTCCTCTAATAGTAACTGGCAATCAATCAGCCAATATGTAGAAAGAATTCTAACAAGAAAAAAGACGTTGACATCTCGTCTGGAACAAACGACAACCCATACCGATGAAATGCTCCAAGGCGATACCGGTGTTGTAACCCAAACCTGGTGTAAATATTAATTATAGTTTTAATTAATTAATCTCCATAAGTATTTTAACCTCTTCTAATAATCTTGTAACAATATCACTATGAATTATTATTATGTTTTTATTCTCTTCTTATTAGACTGTATACTATAGGCCTTCTCGCCAATTCCTGTCCTAATTGGTTGTAACTTGTAATTAAACTAAAAAATATGTTATATCAGAAAAAAAAAAAAAATACACATAGTTCCTTTTTACATAAATACGTCCATATCAAGGTCAAGCTCAGATGTTGTGATTGACTTACTCGATGACCTGGACTAATCACAGCATTTGACTTCGATATATTAATAGAACGGTTCGATCGTGTGACAGTAGCTTATGCTGTGCACTCTGCGTCACGTTCGTCCACAAGCAGGGCTATGTGCATTGCTTTACAGGCAAGATAATCTAGAGCGCCTTCAGTTCTTCGCTATGCAACCGGGGCTTCACACATGCGCGAATAGTCGCATCCGGAAGTTATTCCAATGTCCTTCACTCTGCATCACGTCAGTCCCTGTTAAGCGCCGCGCTGTGCGCTTTCGCTTTGATGGCAGGATAATCCAAAGCGCCTTCAGTTTTTCGCTATGCAACGGGAGCACACACAAGTGGGAATAGTTGCACCTGAAAGTTAAATTGCCTAGGGACAAACACCCACGAAAAAGGAGCGGCTCCTGCTGGTGGGCGGAATTTCAGCAAAAAAACGCGCTCGATTGTGCGTTGTGACGTATGTGAGCGGAAATATCCCTACGTGAGATTGATCGACTTATTACCCTGCCCTACTAAGGAAAAACGCCACATGAATATTTGTATGTTGCCGACTTTCCCCCGATAAAAAATGTATCGTGTAGGAAAGTTATACAAAGATGCATCATTCTGCAAAATTTCGAAATTCGTCCGTTGTTTAAAATAGATCACTTTGAGCGCATTTCCCTCGGCTTATCCTCTCCTCTCTTTCCTCTTCTTCGTTTGCCTTTTCGTCTTCTTCGCCTTATTCTTACTCTCCTTCCTCTTCATCTGCTTCTTTCTCTTTTCCTTCTCCACCTCTTTCTGGTCTTCATTCTTCTTCTCCCTCCTCTTCATAGCCATCTTCCTCGGGAAATAGAGACACAGAGTCGACAGGAGCTTCAACATAGTGATGGCTCCAGAAAGCAACGTCTAACAAGGGGATTCCCCGAGAATATTCCAGAGGTTCCAATAATTCGTCGGCTACCTGACATAAGGGCGTAACTACCTCCTGCAATGAGCCTTGTTTTCCATACAACTCAATGATTTTCCGGGCTCATCTCAATGTGTAGTTACGCCCTTATGTCAGCCAAGCGACGAATTATCCGAACGTTCGAGAATGTTGATGGCAAAATTGGTGCACAGGTGGATACAAACATTTATCTATTGTCTATCTTCTTCACCGCGCTCTCTGAGCGGCTTGGCGCGGTGGTGCGACGGACGGCATGGAGCAGCGGTCCGGTCCATGTGGCAAACTCACGTCTCCATTGCGTCAGCCCGCGCTCGGCCAATCGTTTTGAAGCGGGCGTTTGGCGCCAAGCGCGGCGCGGCGGCGCAGCGGGAGGGAGCGCTTCCCCTCCGTGCGTTTCTCCTCGGCTCCGCGAAATCTCCGCTCGGTATCGATTCGGCCGAGCCGCGAGCTCCGCGCGTAGTTGTGTGCCCGTCGCTCCATCGCTGTGCAGTGCCTTGTGACATTCCAACAGCTGATTCCTGACCACCATGGAACAAGCCGAGAGCGCGAATCCGCAAGTGTGGGTCTTCGGCTACGGCTCCCTCTGCTGGCACCCCGGCTTCGAGTACGAGGAGGCCGTCACGGGCTACATCAAGGGATACACTCGCAAGTTCTGGCAGGGCAGTGCCAATCACCGTGGCACCAGCGAGAAGGTAAACATAACCTAACCTCACTTTTTTCAGTTCGCAGACCTCGCGTCGTGCATGCGCGAATCGTTGTCATCACTTGGACAGAGCATGGTATTCTTGACCTCTGCTAGAAATGAGGCCAGGCTGTGTGGATACACATTACACGTATTTTGGAGGCACTTGATGCATAAAGCACGGGATCATTCGGATTTTAGATGAGCACGCTATGAATCTCGTCTACCTCATCACGTGGTACATTCCACCCGAAATAAATGCGTTTTTTACATTCATCTCTACAGTATAACATAATTTTAACATCAATCTACATTGCATAGGACCATAATAATTCGCAATACGACGAATTAATGATTTTTTATCCAGCTCGCATGCCATCAATCTAGCATCATTCGTAAACATGCAAAGAGACTGAGATTATGTAATTTCGTTCTTTCGAGTCACTTTATTTTCGCTTTTCTCTATCGAAAGTAGACACCTCAAGATTCGATCAAGTTTCATGATCACATATCAACCGCGTAAGTTTATATACGAGGAGCAGGTCTCATTTCAAAGACGGGCAAAAACAATTACAGCACTTTCATCGGCTACCAGTGAAATCAATACCAGATCTTTGCCTTCACCATACTGTGGAACCAATAAGTATACGTAGGTAGCAATGGAAAATCGTATTTCTTCTCAATCTATAATATAGTTGTCGATCCATGCGCGGAGCGCATACTATGTCAGCACCCAAACTTCTTTAATTCTTGCTAACTTTTTTCCCGCCCAAAATTGTCCCTAACCAATCAGAGATCATCAAATTCCCGCTCGATTCTGATCGGCTGACCTGCAGCTGCCTCTATTATTAACAGGCCTCCTTGTTATGGGTGAATCAATGTAAATTACCTGTCCTCATCATCTTCCCGCGCAAATGTGCAACCCCGCTGTCTGTAGACAAGGGTGGTCCCACCTGATTGGCTGGGGTCCAAACAGAGCTTTGACCAGCCCATAAAAGCTTTATGTAGTACTCATCCGAAATTAGGTCGCGAAAGTTGATTTTCATGCGATGTAAAAACTTATCGCGGTGGAGGCGCGAATGTTTGTGTTATTGCAGTAATGAACGACTTAATCTGGGTCTTAAAAGATGATTCATACAGTCTTGTTCGTACCTGGAAAGTTGATGCGATTTTCAAACATATAATCAATACCGAATTCCGTTTGAAATATCACCGTGTCTTTTGTAACTGCCGGTTTCTTTTTTGTCACTTTCGAGATTAATTTTGGGCCAAGCAACAACTCTCTTGCCCTCAATGCTACTATTGCAAAATGTGCAGATCTATCTTAAGTAACGATTGGTCAATTTTCTGAGAATATTATTTCTCGTGAAGGTTCAATGACCATTCAAAATAGTAGTGGTCAGCTCGCTCTTTCGCGAAGTTCGAATCCAACCCCACACGACAACCTTTTTGTTTATAAACATTGACCTCCTTGTCCCAGCGTGTGTCGACTGTGTTCATGAAAAGATCCAAACAAGTTCTCTGACCCTGAAAAAGGCTACCGATTATCTTTTCGCGCGTTGGCGGAATCCGCATGGTGCGAAGTGCGATGCCGGGAAACGAGCGCGCACATTACACAAAAATGTCTCTTCAATTCCGTCCCACGATGCTTTTATTCTTACCATGAAAGTTTTTCCAATTATAAATTGGATTAGCTTGCTGTCACGTCAGTAGGATTTGTTGAGTTTTAGACGGACTGAAAAACATCTAAAAATCCTTGACGCGGCGGAAAATTAAGCGGAGTTGTGGGAGAGCAAGAAATGAAAATATTTGGAGGGCCGAAAGAAAGATTATATTAAATTTTGAATAGATTGAAATGACAAAAAGGAGTCACACTTTAAAATAATACACTAGATGAGCAGAAAGGCGTAACATGTGTACACATGGGTCAGGGATGGAATGGACCATGAGAAATAAGCAGCACAAGCTTTTATAGACTTGATGACGTCACGAGTGGCGAGACAGCAAGTCTATACACTATTGGCTGGCTATAATCAGTGGAGCTATCAGCTGCAAGTTCAGTAATAAAAGTAATGGGTGATTTAAGGTGATGGCTGGAAGATAGGAATGAGAAAAGAGGAAAGTGTACGAAATCCAGTCATCCCTAATGAGTAAACCGAATATGCATAAGAAATTTATAAATTTAAGAAAGGAACAAGTTGCAGGTAATTCAATACCTGTGACACTTGCATCGGGTTAGGATTGAACAGAATTAATAGTCATAGAAAAAAAAAATAACAGAATCCTCTCCAAAATGTATACCGCCTAATTGTAGGTACAGATCGCGTTTTTCAATGGATGGTAATGCAATGTTACAATTTAGCAACATTTTCATCGTAAAGAACTGAAAATGACAAAAAAAAAACTCGTTCTGTAAACTAATAATCATCGGAGGAACAGAATTTTTGACCCTTCGCACAGCGTCAGCCTTACAGCACTGTGTTGAGTCACCATGCTCCACCTTCTCACCTTCAAATATCTTAAATAATTTTACCACTTACGGGCTTGAAAGCTTAGAGGTTACATGTAACTTAGGAAAGGAGCCATCAAGTTCAGAAACATTACGGTTTGCTCATATCTATATTAAACGGCTACAAGCAAAATCTTGGAAGCACTATTTCTGACGAACTGCCGGACCGATAAGGATGATCTTTACATGTATGTCATCTGTAGTAGATGTAGATGTGCAAAAAATTATGAAACCCCGAACTTTTCCTGTTGTAGAGCTTTTAAAGCTCATGTCACTTAAGTCCAATGTTAATAGCGTGAGAGATATGTCGTTTCCGCTAGAAACGTCAAGGTGTGGGATTCTACCTGAGTGACTCAAATAAATAATAAAAGAATGGAAAAGCTCGTGAAGGGCTCCTCATTCGAAGCGTTGAGGAACGGTGCATCGCTCAGGGTTCAAGGTTCAAGGTCCAAGGTATATATACATCCAGCTATTCCTCATCATTTACAAATCTGAGTGTTACGTCAAAAATTTTGAAATCGATGCAGCTCGAACAAAAAATGGTGTATTAAAATGGAAGAACATTTTTGCCTATACATATGCGTATAGGGCCCGCGAAGCGGGCTTGAGGGCGCGACCCGGGCGTTGGACCGCGTAGCGGTCAGGGGGCAGGGCCCCCTAGTAATACGTATAACGATCCAAGGGACAGGAGGTTCGAGAAGAGCGTTACGCCATTTTATTTTTACGTGTTAAAGGATAGGGACCAATGCCACAAACGTGTTACGAGGGGGAAGAGGGTTTGAAAAATCCAAACATACGCGTTAAGTAGTTTATAAATTTCTATCATATTTATTTACAATAGAAATAAGACTCTTATTTTTATTTCACATTTCAAGAGCAATCCATCCGTATCATGACGCATTTTTTTTTAACCTTTCACGATCTCACTCAAATATATTCAAGGGAATTTTGAGAGTAAATATTTTCTAAATGCGTCTCGCTTGAGGTTTTTGACCGAGAGTGGGGCCGGGGCAGCCTTTTTCTCTAGTTCCTCTGTTTTGAATCTAAATTTGGCAGGCGATCTTTGTTTTACCGCGGCTAAAAATAGAGACTGAACCCGTCATAAAGGAGCGTTTCAGCTCGGACAACCTTGCCTTAGCATTCTGTAGCATAGGTCAGCTCCCATGCCCATCCCATCCCGCGCTCCACGCTGCGAAATTAAGTCTGGATAAGGGCCTTGACCTCACTTTCCGTACATCCGGGACCACGCCACTCGCCACGCGGAAATTTCCTTCTGCAGTTACCAACCTCTGCCGAGGCAGTTTCATTCATAGCTACAGTGCGCTGCGTACGCAGCCAAGTATATACAGTTGGATTTTTGATGTACCTTTCACGGAGTTAAAGCGATGAAAGCAATATTTTGAGGTCAAATTGTACAGTATTGAATGACGAGTGACGCGTATAGCGCAACACAAATTTTCATAGAGCTCTTCCACATGTTTGCGCTCACTCTATGAATCCTAAAATTTGAGCCACGAGCAAGCTTCTCTTACTCGTTGGCGTCATCAGTCGACTGCCTCTTTCTTTAGAAGTTTTTTATCAAACGACGGCAATGAGGAGGATGGAGTGATAACGCTTTTTAGAGAGCTAAGCTTCTCCGGGCTCTAAAAAGGTCTCCTTGCTTCGGTCCAAGCCTTCGTTCTACAAGCATCTCGCACAGCCGTCTTTTAGGGCTCCCTAGGGAACTATACACTTACTCTTAAAAATTTTAACGATTCCAGCTCCAATATATAACTTGAACATTGTCTAAATCAACAGTCCCTTCGCCGTGACTTGATACCGAAACCCCGTCCTTAAACATAACATGGTACCTCAAAGCTCGTGTTAAGTTCCATTCACGTGGCAACGAGATAATGATGTTTTTGGAATATATCTTCCCATCTTTTAGATTTTAAACACACTGTGCGTCACATTAATCATCAGAGGGTATTAGAGAAATGTCTCTAATTTTCTAAAAAAAAGTCTACGTTTTGTAACTAGGAACTTCAACTGTTTGCTCGGTTTAGAAAAAACTTATGTATACCATCGCTTCCCTATGCCCATAAGTGCTTTTACAGATGAGCTAGAAATTTCAGTTCCCAATTGCAAAAATATATAGTCCAATTCATGTATGCATCCGATGCATCCGCTCATTGATTAATTGATTCGCCTATCCTGTCGTGCTAAGGAAGAACGCCGTATAAACATTCGAGAGTTGCCAAATTTCCCTGAATACAACATGTAATTTTGAAGAAAGTTATACAAATTTTGCATCGAAAGTTTCAAGAGCTGCAGGTGACATTACGAACAAAATTATCTGAAAAATTGGAGGGAAAATATTCATAAGTTTACCAGGAAATTCGTGCTTTACAAGAGGAAATTTGGCAACGCCTGAGGGCCCATACGGTGTTTTTCCTTAGCACGGCAGTACTATCGTACTAATGAAAAATCCCGTCCAGAATGAATGACTGAGCTTGACCCAA